TGTTTCACTTTTGGCCACTTGTCCCACAAGTAACTATGTGGGACAAGTGGGTCAAAATAAGTCCAAAACCTGACTCTGCCTACTTCCTACTTTCTCAATTTCTCTCTCTCTCTCCCGATGTACTTGATGACTGCAAATTTCTGGGAACGCTTTGGCATGGCATTGAACCCTGTGATTTATGTCTGACACCTCTGCCGGCTTCTCAATGACTTGACACAAGTATGTACATGTCAAGTTCTTTTATACATATATTTTTGTTGCCAATGCTTCTTCTTTTTGGTTTGCCTGAAAGTTGCTTTCGCACTTTTTGAGCTGCTGCCAACGCATGTTTATTGCCTATTTTTGCATTAGAAAAAGTCATTTATTTAACTTTGACTTTGACTACGAGAAACTTTGTTCACGCCCTGCGGCAGCTTCCGCCGGCCCCTTCCTGGGCTCAGACACTCATAAGCTCCATTGTCATTATCAGCTAGAACCTCTCCATGGTGACAGGCAAAATTAATGATGATGCCTTTTGATCGCTTTTGACTTGGTCTTGTTTCATATGGAAGTATTTAAATAAATATTTGATTAATAATGGAAGCAGGCCCAACCAGTGCTTCTCTCATTGCCAAATCGAACCTGATAAGTTGACATATTTTTTTTCATTTCTTTTTCTTGGTTTCCGTTTCATAAATTATGGTTTTTGATAGGTTTTTATTGTAGGCATTTTTGTCTTTGATTATGATAAATTAAAACCTAAATGTCCTAATGACAGATGATGTTGTGTCAAAAAATAATCCCTGTTTCGCTTGCTTTTGATAGCAACAATACGAAAAATTTTAAATTAATATAACATTTAGTTTGAATTTAATAAAACATGATGATATATTATGAACCTATCACCATATACGTCTTCTGCAATATTTATCTTTTGAAACTTAGAACTTAGAACACTAATTAACCAAAAATGTTAAATTCATAACTTTTTCTATTTAAATGCATAATAACAATAAAGGCATTTGGCTGCATCCACATTTGCACATCTTTACCATTTCTTTGTATAACATTTATAACTTCATTAAAATACATTTCATGATGATTTTTGAAGTTTCTGTATAAGAACCATTTTTATTAGCTGAATATAATATTCAAAGAATGTTCTTATAAAGAAAGTTTTATATTCAAAGCGCCTTTTGTGTTTCATTATTCATCGACATTTTTCCTAATCAATTTCCCCTATTTATTTTTAAATGAAACTTAAATTAAGTGGTGCCGCGTTGCAGGAAAGCAACGAATTGTTAACTCTCACTGCGCTCGCTCAGCCAATTATATCCTCACCTTCTCCCACTAAACTTTAACTTCCCACATCCCTGGCAACCTGATGTTTACACATTTAGCTTGCCAGTAAATAAACATACCACAACCAGCCCCACTCGCCGCATCCATTTCACATGCTTACACTTAACCCCACTCGGTCTGGCTAATTAACATTTAATATTCAATTTTTAGACAGCAAACTGTTGGTTGTTGAAGCCTCTTTAAGCGGACAAACAGAGCACCAAAAAAAGAGTATACAGCTCGCATGTGCGCGTGGGTGTGGTGTGTAGAGGTCTGTTGTGGACAACATTCGGAGCATGCTTTTAGGCGCCGAGAGCAGTTTTACACTTTAACGATGTCATAAAATAATTAATAACGCCACTAAACAACATAATTACGCGCCTAAGCACCACCGCATGCAGCCGCTGGTGGATGTGAAAGCGGATGTGGATGTCGATGGATATGGTAGAAGGCACCACAATATTGTGCTGCAAGTGAGCAGAGCTGCAAATTTGTAACTTTCCTATTTAATTAGCTCTCAGCGCTTATTCAATTTCTTGCGCTTTGCCTACTTACCGTAAATCAACTCCCGTTCAAAATTCGCCGTCGGCACAACGATTAGGAAGACAACGCCTGGCATTTTGTAGATGATACGCCTCCTGGTCCGCCTGCTGCTCCTGGCTCAAGGTGTGGCGACCGACGCAACTGTGAATGGCAAAAGGCAGACAAGTGGCCATTTTAGTTTACAAATTGTGTGCTTTAAAGTAGCTGGAGACGGGAAAGTAAGGGGAGAAAGAGCAGAATAATGGCTGGCTCGAGTACATTAACATAAAAACATGCTGTTGGTGGGCCAAAATATATACCGCGCCTACACTGAGACAACACAAAACTTGGCAAAGCTGCTGCTCCCAAGAATCTTCACAGCCAAAATGCATTCCTCGTTGTGTTAGCTGCCGAGGGTGGATTATAAAGTTTGTGGGAGTATTCTAAATTTTATGAAAGTTAAAAAATAGCCTAAACTAACTAGAAATTAGCTGGATCGGCACATTAAGAGTTAAAGCGGTTTGGGAATTTGAATGGTTTTAGATGAACACACAATATTGCCGCTTCTAGCTCCATAATGTGAGCCCCTCTACATATTTACTTCCTTGTTAAGGCTTTTATCCGTTTAAATGCTTACAACAGAAAGCACATCACATCTGCTGAGAATAATGTTAAAATAGAAACCCGAAAGTAACTATTATTTGTTCATTAATCGATTAAAGATATATTGAGCTCGTACTCAGACACTTATCTGGCTTAAAGCCCTATTTTAATGCCATCAAAAAAACTTCTGTGATCGTATTTGTTAATCAACGTGCATCATTGATGAGAACGACAGTTAACGAAAGTTAACTAAACTAATTAAAGGACTCTCGGCAAAGTTTCCCCCATTGCCGGCTCTAAACTGTTAACTTTTGAGCAGTTAAGCCCTATTAGTAGGTAGCCAGTTTGCAGCCAAAAGAATATTTCTCAGTTGAAAGAACCAAAAAGAAGTTGGCATCAGATGTCTCACTTTTCTATGGTAGTTCTCGAATGTATTGTGTTACGAACGTTGTCAGACTGCCGAATTGAAGGCAAGATTGCTGATTTTTTCTTCGCAGCTGCACTGAAATGAAAAACATCTTAATTAAAATAGCCGCCGTCGATTAAATATGCATTTGATGCCGTCTCCACTTCACTCTTTTCTTTATTATTTAACTTTGCATTGGTAATTTGCCTTTATCAGTTGCTGACTGAGTAAATATCCTGCTGCTACGCACAAGCTGCTTGCAGCTTTTGCCACAGCACGGAAAGCGACGCCTCCAAGATTTTCCGATCCCCCACTCTCGAATGTGGAAATTAAAATGCCATTAGCACAGAGTTAAGATAACAATGATACGAATAAAGGCAGCCGCTAAAAAGACCATGGGCAACATGTTCTTCAATCTAGGGTGAAACATTTAAGCCAGCAGAATGCACTTGCTAACTGATAGTTTTGCTGAAAAATCCAAATCCAATCTAATAAAATATATTACTTAGAAAAACAGAATTTACCGGCATATTTAAAGATGAATATCCATTAAGTCAAATGAACTGTGGGAGATGATTTTGATTTCAGCCGAAACTAAAAGTGCAGCCTGAACGTATTATTACATGTACAGCTGATTCACCCCAGTAAACCCAACAGAGTCACCCGATTAATATAAGTATATGTAACTAACTAACTTATATATAAATTAAAGGCTTAATGCTAACGCAACAAAATCTTACTTTAATATTGGCTCTGATGTGCAGAATGATGACACAGCAAGAGATACTTTAATCTGATTGTCATTTTAATTTGAGAGCCTTCCCCCAAAAGATAGCATCCCGCTGGACCAGCGGTCCGCCAGCCGTTGTGAGAACTTTTGAGCAAACAATCAGCGTTTTTTCTCCATTCTTCAACTTGAAACATTTTTACCAACAGGCGCAAACAAACGTACAGGCCGAAGCTGTAACCAAAGCCGAAGCCAAAGCCGTCGCTCCCCCGCATCTTCAGGCAGGCTCTTGTAAACTTTGGATGCCACTTTTCAGCACATTGACTGTTGCACATTTTTTACTCAGCACTTGCAAGTTTTCATTTTATGGAATATTTATTAAAAAACAACGGCGAAAATGCACAGTGGCAACGGAAAATTCTTTTATATTAACCGAAAATATTTATTTTTGTTGTTGCTGTTTTTTTTTTTCGGTTTTTCTGTCTATTTTTTCTGATGCATTTTTTTATTAATTCCTTAACTATTTATTGACATAAGCTGAATGAAGTTTTACCTCAACGACGACATTGGCAGCCTCCGCTGAAGTGGGCGGCCGGAACCAGTCCGGGCTTTACTTTACACTACAGTGTCACACCATGTTGCATTGTTGCACAATGGAAGCCCGAGCAGAGCTAATTTCTTCGAGTAGCCCGTAGAGCTGCGCTCTAATTAAAGCAACAAAATTGCATTACTCTCGCACTTGTGCAATATAATTACAAAGTGCAGAAAAACAAAAAATAATTAAAATAATAATAAATATTAAAAAGCCAAAGTACGGAACCATTCAAGTGCCTCCGTCGCTGGCGGGCACGTCTCGAAGGCGTGAACAAAAAGAAAACTATTGTAATAACTACCAATAAGCGGATGATTGCCGCCACGTCTCGCATAGTTTTAAGTTTCCTTTACTTTCCCGATAGGCGTACCTCCCCCACCCACTGCCTCTTCAAGCCTTAAAACGTCTCGGAAAAACCTGCCAAGGCCAAAAGTTTTCTTTCGCTGTCAGCTTTGATTTCATGGTTTGCCTCTTCCTGCACGGGTCTTACGTATTTTTTCAACTGCCACATTTTGCAATGCTTTAATGTTGTGTTAATTAAAAGAGCTAATTGGTTACGTCTGTGTGTGTGTGTGTGCGTGTGTGCGAGGAGTTGGGCATTTGCGCTGGTGTGTTTTGCAGCTTAAGTAGTTTAACGTTACATTCCAGTATAGAAAACCTTGAGGAAGAAGTACAAATGGTCAAATCTAAATTGCTTGACTTAAAAAAATATTCTTTACTCAGGCAGAAAAAGCTAAATATGATTTATCAACGTGACAAAACGTAGTATGTCAAGATATAACCGTCTGGCTTTTCGTCTTACTCTCCCTCGTTTACTGATGTAGATCAAATTTTATATTATTTGAAATTAATTTTATATTAACTCGAAATCGGGTAATGAATAGACAGAATATTGTCAAAGCTTAAAAACTTTCTTGAAAATAGTTATGTTGTCAAACATTTCCCGTAGGACCCAGCACAGTGTAGATCCTTAGAGTTAAGTATGTCAGTTGAATTACTTGCATTTTCGTTTTGTGGCCGTTGAAGCAACATTTCTCTTTATTTTTAGGGTGGTTTTCTTGTTGGCCTGTTTTGTGTGGTAAATGTTCACATTTTTCTCACCGAAAATGACCCAAACTGCATTTGTGTCCGATTTGGGTTCTCCTTTTTGGCCGTCCGCTTTATGCAGCTCTGGTGGCAAATGAAGCGTTGCCGTATTGGCCTTAACTTGCCAAGTTAACAGTACTTCTAATGACAGTTACCAGCTTGAAGCGAACGTGTGCAACAAGGACTTTTATCCCATGCTTGTGCCGCAAATATTTGTGATAGTTTTTCTTTTTTTGCACCGTTAGCTCGAAAAAAGAGTCGTTGACTTTAGAAGCCTGCGCCATGAAGAGGATATAGCTCAATAATATTAATATTTAAGTAGACAGTTGTGGTCCGTGGTGTCGGGCAAATACTGCAAAAGTTTTAAAAAAGTTTTGGCCAGAGCAATGACCCTGCGAATGGGGCCGGCGACCAACAGGAGCAAACGACTTTAATATAAAGAATAATCATTTAAATAAGGATAAGGCAGACACTGCCATCACACTGGTCCCACATTATGACACACGGTGGTGCAACAAGAGCTAAAAAAAATATGGAAAAGTTTCGTTGGGCAAAAGCAAAATTGCATTTCATAGCCAATTTCTGCGGGCCAAAGAAAAACTTTCAGCTTAAAGTTGGTCAGATAAGAAAAGAGCCAAAGGAACGGAAAGCTGAAACTACTTTAAGTGGCCTCCACTGTACAAGAGTACCTAACTATACTCTAAAAATAAGACTATTCGCCCTTACTGATTGACAGATTGGTGATCCACACCAGACCCTACAACGAAACTTTTACAAAAGTTAGTTTATATGATGTAAGACCTCCCCAGTTCGGGGCTTAGAAAATAACACTCGCAAATGTAGAACATGTATAAAAAATGCTGTACTAAATTGCTTAGCATCCGACCAGCTTTAAACGCATTTTCGACGACTTAGAAATTGTGAGTAAGAGGTGTTACTTACTTATTTTCTGTAACCTGTACAATGTGTGTCAAGGGTTGCTTGCAAATTTTTTATCTGAATAATTCCAATATCATTTGACTCGTGATTCGATTCGATTCTCGTAATTCACATATTGCGTAAATCCTCTCCGTTAAACGCAGAGGTATTTTGCAGTTATATATTTTCAGATGATATGCAGACTACGTTAAATTCCCAGTGCGCTACAATTAAGAAACTGCCTCTTTTTTATGCCTTACTATGCGATTCTCATGAATTCTATTGTGGCTTACAGATGTAGATGCTTCGATTATAAGTTTATTTTTAGAGTTGGTCTTTGACTAATGACTGTATACCGTATGTATGTATGTGTACATATTTATGTATATGTGTAAGACTGTGTGTATATCATGCATTGATATGGACGTATGAGTGTACAAGTGATTATGTTTCTAAGTACGTAGGCACGTGATGTGTATGTTTGTCAATACGCACATATGTAAGTATTTATACGGTTGTTCCCTTGCTTTGTAAGCTTCTAAATGTTACCGTACCATACGATTATCATAAATTTAAGTAAGTCTTTCTTACCTACATACATACATATAGGTTTGTATATCTGCATCTGTTATATTGGTTGGGATGCGTCCAATATAAAAATGTATGAAACCCGATTTTCTGTGAACGAACATGTCATGTTAAATCGTGCGTTTTTGTGTCACGACACGCGTCAAACGCTACTGCGACTGCGACTTTCTCAAGGCTTTATGTTACCAAGTTAACAAACATATTGTAGGGTAGTAACTTTTTACCTTTTGCATTGACATTGTATTTTTTATGCGTGCCCAATGCTCAATGGTGCCATTTACTGGAATAAATTATCATTCATTTCGAATGATAAGAAACTTGGCCGCTGGCTGGGAAAAGTAATCCCAAAGACTTTAGCCTCCAGATGGATAAGGACCACACCTAGTTGGGTAATAAAAATCAATGCCTTGTGCTTGGAAATCGAAAGGCTGTCAATTTGATTTAATGACTCCCTAAGTGGTCGACGTATTTTAAGAATCATCAATCCATCAATAATAGGATAGCTTTAATAAAATCTGCTTTCTATTCAATCTATTGCAGCTCACACGCGTGTTGCGAAACTTTAATATTACCAAAATAAGCGATCTAGAATTAATTTCCAATACCACAGATCGCTTGGATATAACGTTTCACTTCTTTGGCATCAAAGGCGACTCTCAACGCATTCGAGAGGCCATAACCCGAATGGTTGAACGTGGACGTATTGGAAACTTTACGTTGGTCTCGAATTTTCATCATTTCGACGAGAATCCACCACTCAATATGCTGGTAAGTGTGGACTAAAAATAAACCTGTGATAAGTTTCAATAGTCAATTAGCACCATCATCGACATTACAAGACAAGAATATACACATAGATTTCTCTGGGACCCGATCCGAATTCAAATTTTGCATTTACATATGTCCTGGTTGTCCTGCACTCAATTATTTGGAATTAAACTTTCGAAAAGTATTAAATAAGTAAATTTACAATTTTAAATTCAGAAATACATATTCGACATCAGTTAAATGGGTCCAATCAATCAGCTCGAGCATCGCAACATTGATTTCTGGTCTCTGGCGTTATTATTAATACATACCATATATGACTGTAAAAGCGGACAAGAGATAAAGTATTATAAAATATTTGCAGGCATTACCACATGCATACATGTGTGTCTCCGCATTTATTTCCGTTATAAATTAAACATTAATTTATTTACTCTTGTCGCACGTGTGGCAGCAACACGGACATAAAAAACAATAGCAATAAAACAATAAAAGCAACAAATGAGTGGGCATAAATGTGCGCATAAACACGTCGACAATGCGGCACTCGCCACTCGCCACTCGCCACTTGCCGCTTGCCACTTGGCTTGCAACAACGAAAATAATTATTTATTAATTGCGGCAAGCACATGAACAATTGGCCTCATCAGGTGGCCATCAAGCCTGCCACTGCCTGCAATTAGGTTGCATTAACATAACCGACAAGCCGGAAACCTCAGGGTGCTCCCAAACGACGGCACAGAATTTGCGTCGCTTGACAGGAGCCTAGGGACCGGAACTGTCGGACAACTCCTCCAACCGCCCACTCTCATTCATGCTCTACACATGGGCGTCTAATTAGTGAATATTGTGGACTGAAACTGCGGATCATTTTCGTTGCAGGACCTGAGCGTCAATCAACCGCAGGCAGCTGTGCGAGAGGACAACGAGTTTATCATATCCTGCACGGCCCAAGGCTCATCACGCATGCAGTTCCAATGGTTCAAAGATGGCGCCAATGTGAACGCCTCCAAGGCAACGAGGTAAGTTTAATCTTAAGTTAGCCCGCTCCTGAGCTGGAACTTGGGGTAAGCGTCTAGTAGTCGCAGCTGCCTCTTACAGTTGACCATTGAATTAGAAAACTATAAAACAAATACTACGCTTCGAATGTTCCAATTGATTGGATAGCATATATTGCACTGATCGACTGCAATATACCCTACAGCCGAAAATCAGCATTTATTTAAAAACAAAATCAGATATAGGCTAAAAAAGCTGTTTTTTTTATTATTTTATTTTTAAAGGGTATTCACACATACTCTGTTTTGCGTCTGCAATTTTGTTAAAATGAAATAAAATATAAAAAGCTGTATATGAAAAAAAAGACGGTAATAGCATTCCACGCTGAGGGCGGCTGGAATATTCGGGGGGGTAGAGGTTTCGGCTGATTTTCCAGCACAAGTGTTCAATTTGACTTTATGACTTTTACACATCAATAAACATGACATAAAATGCCCTGGCAAAATAAAAATGAAACGGCCAAAAAGGATAAATAAGTCAGGGCAAAGATAAGGATTTGTCAGACGAGACATCGAGCAGCTAGTCGAGCCACAGCGAGAGGTGGACCAGCCTAACCGCAGTCAGCCCAGGCGAATGATTGATCATAAACCCTAGAATGGGCACCCAGCACACATCTGTGTGGCGCACACCCGACTCTCCCCCATGTGCAGGCCGGAATTCGCATAACCTTTGTGCGGCTGCCCCTTCTACCACTGTCCCAGCCTCTGCTTTTGGTGTATTACATAAAAAGCATATGGCCGTAACTAACGAGGGGTTGTTGCTTGGACGACTGCTCGACTGCTCGACTGCTATTGGGGCTGCCAGAGGTTTCTAGGGGCTTAGGCCCAGCCGCATCGGAGGGGCCATGCAGCCTTGACAATTTGTGCACAATAAGAGGCACTGCGCAAGTTATCGGTAGCAACTGGTAGGGCGCAAGGGGCGTGACAGGTGGAATAACAAATGGATTGAGGCATGGTGCGAGTCCTTTCGCGTGCCGCTAAAGGTCATATCTGCAAAAAGAATTCATATTTGAATGTACCCAAGGTTGTATCCTTTAAAACACGAATATAAATAACTATTTAACCATTTGAAAATGTTCTCAAAATCAATATATTTCAGTAGATATTTCAAACATTTTGATACCTGCAACGAGTTCTACAATTTACTATAACACATTCGCTGTTTAAACAAATATCTTGTTTAATTCTTCAAACAGCAAGTTCCACAGCTTATGTGAACAGCTGTTTGCTACACACATATGATTTTAACCAACAACACAATTAACTTTTCAAAGTTAGACATTAGTTATTCGTTGGGATTATATACCTGCATATCTTAACTATTTTACGGCTTCAAAGGTTTTGCAAATCAAAATTATTTCTCCTTTAAACGTGACAAAATATTTGTTTGTAGAATTTCGCTGCATGTCACAGTGAAAAGGAATTTCTAAAGCTTTGTAAATTTTGATTGGCAGAGTTTCTATTCATAGATTGATGCATGGGCCCCAAACTTCTGTTGGTCGTATTTGGAATTCAGAGTATTACATGTGTTCGCCTCCCTCCCCCACCATCGAAGGCGAACTGGGAACGCATTGATGTGTAAAGTATTACAGCTGTACAAAAGCCACAAACACATGTTCCTCAGTCGACTGGGTGCAAAATATGAGTAAATATTTTAACTAAAGTCAAGTGAAGTCATTCATTTGGACATTTACTAACTTCGCATTACACAAGCGACTAAGCATTGGGTCACTCCAGGCGTGGCCGGCTACTCGTGCACTGCCTCAGCTCCTCGTTAGTGGCCGACTTTACTTTGCGTACTAAAATAACCGGAAGTAAGTGAATTTTGAATGCTTGATTTCACTTTGCTTAGGGGCAGTGCACAGCTCCTACTCCCCTTGGCTATGCGTCAGGAAATGAGTTATAAATCAGCGCAACTTAAAATGAATGCTGTTTTGCATAGCTTCAAGATACACAATGCACAAAATAAGATGTT